GGAGAGAGAATTTAAAAATTATTGGACTATCTGAAAGCCATGATCAAAAAAAGAGCCTAGACATCATCTTTCAAGAAATTATCAAGGAAAACTGCCCTGATATTTTAGAACCAGAGGGCAAAATAGAAATTGAAAGAATCCACTGATCTCCTCCTGAAAGAGATCCCCAAAGGAAAACTCCTAGGAATATTGTAGCCAAATTCCAGAGTTCCCAGGTCAAGGAGAAAATATTACAAGCAGCCAGAAAGAGACAATTCAAGTATTGTGGAAACACAATCAGGATAACACAAGATTTAGCAGCTTCTACATTAAGGAACCACAGGGCATGGAATATAATATTCCGGAGGGCAAAGGAGATAGGATTACAACCAAGAATCACCTACCCAGCAAAACTGAGTATAATCCTGCAGGGGAAAAAAATGGTCATTCAGTGAAATAGATGATTTTCAAGCATTCTTGATGAAAAGACCAGAGCTGAATAGAAAATTTGACTTTCAAATACAAGACTCAAGTGGAACATGAAGAGGTAAACAGGAAAGAGAAATCATAAGAGACTTATTAAGGATGAACTGTTTACATTCCTGCATGGAAAGATGATATTTGTAACTCATGAGACCTTTGTCAGTATTAGGGTAGTTGGAGGAAAAGAATTATATGTGTGTATATATAGATGGATAGAGGGCATAGGGTGAGTTGAAGATGAAGGGGTCATATCTGGAGAATAAAATTAAGGGGTGAGAGAGGATTATACTAGGAGAAGGAGAAAGGGAGAGGTAGAATGGGGTAAACTATCTCACAAAAAAAAAACGGAAAAGAAAAGGCTCTTACAGTGGAGGGGAAATGGGAAGGTGACAGGGAATGAGTGAATCTTATTCTCATAGGATTTGACTTAAGGAGGGAATAACATACACACTCAATTGGGTATGGAAATCTGTCTTACCCTATAGGAAAATAGGGGATGAAGGGGACAAGAGAGTAGGGGGATGATAGTGAGAAGGGCAGATTGGGAAAGGGGGTAACCAGAAGCAAATACTTCTGAGGAGGGACAGGCTCAAAAGAAAGAATACAAAAAATGGGGGGGGGGAGGGATAGCATTAAGGGAAATGGAGTTAGTTTTTCACAGCATGTCTACTATGGACTAACTGCACATGTATAACCTATATTGAGTTGCTTGCCTTATCAATGAGGGTGGGTGGGGAGGGTGGAAGGGAGAAAATTTGGAACCCAAAGTTTTAAAAACACATGTTTAAAAAAAATGTTTTCACATGCACCTGGGAAATAAGAAATACAGGAAATGGGGTATAGAAATCTATCCTGCCATACAGGAAAACAGAAGGGGAAGAGGATAAGAGAAGGGGAGGAGAGATAGAAGGGAAGGCAGACTAGGAGAAGGGGTATTCAGAATGCATGCCATCTTGGGGTGGGGGGAGGGGTGAGATGGGGTGAAAATTTGGAACTCAAAATCTTGTGGAAGTAAATGTTGAAAACTAAAAATAAATAAATTTATTAATTAAAAAAAAGTAAAAAAAAAAAAGAAAGAAAGAAATGCAAATGATGAGGGGCAGCTAGGTGGCTCAGGGAATAGAGCACCAGCCCTGGAGTCAAGAGGACCTGAGTTCAAATCTGGTCTCAGATAAAACACTTGACACTTACTAGCTGTGTGACCCTAGGCAAGTCACTTAACCTCAATTGCCTAAAAATAAAAAATAAAATCAAAAATTAAAAAAGAAATGCAAATGAGCAAAGTGTTTCTAACACTGCATAAAGGATTCCTACCTTAGATTTGAAAATAACTGAAAATGACATTGAGCAAAGCCTGTTTGGCAGTATTTGAATCATATATATCTCCATTTTCATTTCAATATGCCTCACTCTATTCTAAATGAATCGTATAATGTTTCCAACATACATGGTGGAATCTCATTCTTTAGTAAAGTCCACAACTATGTTTATAGGCAGCGCGCAGAACATTGACAGCCTAGGAATTTATAGAACTTCTGAGTTTTATAGTCCTCAGGGCACAGTATAAGATATCAAATTTGATATTTAAATCTTAAAGTCTGTTCTTATAATGTAACAAAACTGAGTAACACAAAGAAATCATTCCTGTGCTTCAAGCACCCAACAAAAAAGGCAACCAGAAACATTTTCGGTATTTTTTCACATTTTACTCCTTTATAGCTATGTACGTACGAAAGTAGCCATATTTGTCCAAATATGTTGAACCATTAAAATGAGATTTATTTAATAGGCAGGTATACAGTGAAAAAATATAACATTACTAAATTCAAATATGTTTTCTGTTTTTATAAACTTTCCATGCAAATAAAGATATTCTTTTCCTCTTTAAAAAAGTAAAACAAAAAACAAAAAACAAAAGGAATATCTGCTTCAGTTTGCCACCATTTGGGCAAGATACCTGCAATGACCACAACAGGGAAAAATCACTGCTGCAACTCCCCATCTCCACGCACAGCCACCGAGCCTCCACAGTCCAGTAAGGAGAGAGTAAGACATGACTACATAAGGAAGAGGAGACGAGAAAGATCCTTGACCGCCCTGCCCCTGCACAGCAACCTTTTTCCATCCTACCACTGCTTATAAATAAGGGTGAAGGGTGTTCAAAGTATCCCCACCTGCCACATCTTTTTCCAGAGTTAATATCCTATAAGGAATGAAGCTCTCTAGACTGTCATGCCATCCAACCCAGACTGAAATCTGACATGACATAACCACACTTTCAAGGAGAAGAGATTTTTTTTTCTATTGCTTCTTGTTAATATAATTAATAGGAGTCTCTGAAAAATTAAAGATCAGTGACACAAAGAGAAATGGAGAAGTGCACAGCAAGTACAGACAGCATGCAACGTATCACATTGCAATAATCCTATTGAAGGCACCACCAGCTTCTCAGCCCCCCATTTTCACAACCTCAAGGTCATGCTTAACTCCCTACTCTTACAATCCATACTCGTCTTATCACTTCTACCTTCATGCCGTCTCTTACAGAATCCCCTTCTCTCCTCTCACACGGTCACCCCCCAGTACAACACAGCACCTCCAGACTACTGCAGGAGGCTTCTCACGAGCCTCCCTGCCTCAAGTCTCTTCCCACGTCAGTCCATCACCCACATGCCGCAACCTGCCCTGGTGAAGGACACCCAAAGCCCATCACTCATGGATCCAGTCAATGCACTCACGGTATTTAGTGCCTGCGTTCTAGAAGCAGTACAGCCTTGCTATAAATGGAAGGAAAGTGACTGACCTTGTCCCAATTTCTCTCCTGGGTACCAGCAGCCGTCCTGCTCCTCCCGCCGTTTGGGTTGGTTGATTGGTTGCTGTCCTCGGTTCTCAGAAGAGGACCAAAATGACATCACTATGTTGGCGTCAAGGTCCAGTGTGTCTACCTGTGGTTGATCAGACCAATAAGAGCTCTGAATGCCCTACCACAGGTTAGGCACCAATAGTCCATGTGAACATTTGGAGCAGAGATGGCGCTAAAGTTGCACATCTTACGTTTCTTTTGAGCTACTGTAATTCTTTGATTTGGGTATGCCGTGCTGGGTGGTCCTGGGCCAGTGTCTCTCATGTCACCCAATCGATTCCAAAGTTCTTCAGAGACATCTTGAGAGTGTCACTGTATAGCTACTTCTGACCTCCACGTAAGTGCTCGTAAGAGCTTGTATTAATGCTCCATAAAATGGTCCTTGAAGCAAACGTACATTTGACATTTGAACAACGTGGCCAGTCCGTCACAGCTGAAGTCTCTGTAGTACAGTTGGAATGCTTTGCAATTCAGCTTGAGAAAGGACCTCAGTGCCCAGTACCTTCTCTTACCAGATGATCTTCAGAATCTTCCTAAGGCAATTCAAACGGAAAGGTTCTGTTTCCTGGCATGGCGAGGGTAGACCGGCCAGATTTCACAGGCATACAAAAATGAGTTCAGCACAGTGGCTCTGCAGACCTTCAGTTTAGTAGGCAGCCTACTATCTCTTCTTTCCCACACTTTCTTTTAAAGGCTCCCAAACACTGAGGTAGCTCTGGCAAGGCATGCATCAACCCCATCATCTACGTGTACATCCCTGGAAAGGAATACTGCCAAAGTAACTGAACTTATTCAGAGCATTCAAATCTTCTCCATCTGCTGCAACCGATGGGTCCACATGTGGATGGCTCGGCACTGGCTGGTGGAAAACCTGTTTTCTTAGCATTCATTGTTGGGCCAAAATCAGCTCAAGTAGCAGAAAAATCGTCCACGCTTTTTTGCATCTGGGCCTCGCACAATCATCTGTGAACAAAAAAAAAAATCACGCACCAACTCCCTCCACTCTAGTCTTGGCTTGCGGCCTTTTCAAGGTAAATAATTTGCTTTGATGGACTTTGAGTCAGGAAGACCTTCAGATAGTCACTAGCGTCATAGCCCCAGGCTAGTCACTTCATTTCTGGCTGCCTCAGTTTCCTTACCTGTAAAATGGGGCTTATGACAGTCCCTGCGGCCCATGGTTGTGGGGAGGGTGGAGAGAGATGATTAATATTTGCCAAGTGTTCCGCAAACGTTAAAGGGCACAGAAAAGGAAACTGTGGGTCTAGGAAGGGAAGGAGTTGAGAGTCTCCTCACCAGCTGGGGCAGGTCTGGTCACCCCAGGCTGCACGTGGCCCTGGGCTTCGCGCGCATGCTCAGGGAGGGTGGCACGTGGCCGCCTCACCGGACCCCGCTGCGGTCCCCTGGCTGCGCGCACGCTCCGGAAGGAGGTCGCGCGGGCCCTCCTCCCCGTAACCCGCTCTGTTCCCCCACCCCGACTGCACGGGGCCCTGAGCTGCGCGCGCAGCGAGCGCAGGCGCAGCTGAGCACTCGGGGGCTCGCGAGCGCCCCCTGCGGAGCAGAGCGGCGCGCCTCCCTACGGACCGCAGCGGTTAGTCAGCCCCGGGCGCCAGCGGGGGCCGGGGGCCGCTGCCCGAGGAGGGAGGGCGGCAGGGGAACTTGGCTGGCGTGACGGGAAGAGCGCTGTGGAGGCTGTGCCCCCATACACCCGGTAACCGTGGGCAAAGCCCCCTCCTCTCTGGGCCTCAGTTTCCTCTCCTGTAAAACGGGCGAGGTAAGCGCCAGCGGCCCGTGATGGGTGAAAGGAGGAGGCCGGGGGCGTAGGCCTCGGAGTGGCCTCGGGGGCAGGCCGGCCTTGGGGGTGCCCCCACCGCGGGGAGCCTAGCCCCGGCCTGCAGAGCCGCCCCACGGCCCAGGGCGAGGCAGCGTCGGGTCCTCCTAGAAGGTCTGGGGGAGGGGGGCAGCCCTCAACCCCCCGCGCCGTGCCGACCACCCCCTGACCCCGCCTTGACCCGTGTGACCCCGGACAGAGGCCCCCCCCAAGAAAGGGAGGGAGGCCAGCGGGGATCTGCAACACGTGGTTGTTGGGGGGGGCGCGTGCCCCGCCCCCTTTTCCCCCCCCCCCCCCGCTTCCCCCGGGTGCGCGGCCGAGCCGCGCAGGCGTGTCCGCACGGACCGATGTGATTGCATTTCTTTATTTGGGAGGCGATGATTTTTTTCTCCTTCTTGGATGGCCTCCTCTTTGAAGTCGGGCCCTGTGTACCTTTAAGATGAATTTGCTTTCAGCGTGAATCTTCTGCCCAGTGGAATCCAGCTGCTTTTCCCAACTTCACTTCCTGGAAGAACATTCCCACTCGCAGACGTCAGCAGCAGCGGGTCAGAGCCAGGCTCCCTCAGTTTCTTCATCTGTCAGATGGGGGCCATGATAGCCCCTTCCTCCCAGGCTTGTTGTGAGGCTCACAGGAGGTAATGCTAAGGCCTGGTCCTCTGTGTTGGGTAGACACTCGATAAAGCCCGAGGTGCTGTCTTACAAGTGCAGGAGGTTCAGTGTCGTCCAGGAGAAGAGTGGAATGCTGTGGAGGTGTTGGCAGGTCATAGGATCATAGGTAGAGAGCCAGAAGATGCCTTGATGACTTTGTCCTCCAGTTCCCCCCGTGTTACAGTTGAGGAGACTGAGGTCAGGGAGATAAAAAGACTTAGCCAGGTAATGAGAATCAGAGGTAGAATTTGAACCCAGATCCCTCTAACCCCAGAGCCAGGGCTCTTTCCACTGTTGGGCGCTGCCACTTCCTGTTCCATTTCCCCTCTTATTTGGTGCCATTCTTGAAGATTTATTTATAAATGTTCTTGAGCAATTTGGCTTAGTTCAGCTTTCTTTGGCCTCCTTTTCGGGCTATTACTCACAATCTTCTGCTCTCTAATGGTGAATGAATGAGCTTGATCTAAACCAGTGTCTCCCTTACATGTCTTTATACATGACAACAAAAGCCAATGTTTTCTGGTCCAGACAGCTTCTGGGTTCTGTTGACTTCCTTGTTTGGGCAGCTGGTTTCAATCTGCAAAGTTCCCTTAAGAAATTTTGGAAATGAAGGCCAGAGCTCACCTTGGGTCCTGGAGTTGTCTCCACACCTTTGTGACCTTTTGTTTTCTTGTCAGTCGTCTGCCCTGGCCAGTACTGTCTCCAGTCATCCCTGCTCAGCCCCACATTCAAAGTCATGGTCAGTGTCCTTCGACCTCCCTGATACCTCAACCAAAGGAGATGGTCCACTCTCTATCCTGAGGCTTTACCTAGTGGGGATCACATGCCTGTGGTGTGATCCCTTGGGACAGAATGCCTTCTTTCTTCCTTTCCATGTATCCCAACCCCTTCTTCAAGGCCCAGCTTCAGCCTTTCCTGACCAGTGAGCCCCTTCTCCTTCTCAAAACTCATACCAGGTATTGTTTATGACACCTGTTTGGCCACTGTCCACATATTACATACTTGCAGGAGTCATTTGGGCCAACCAGGGCCTGATTTAGTCTCTTCTACTACATAATCATAGCGCCTTATGGTTTACAAAGTCCTTTACAAACATGATCTCATTTGATGCTCACAACAATCCTGGGAGGGAGGTGCTATTATTATCCCCATTTTACAGATGGGGAAACTGAGACAAACAGAAGGTAAGTGACTTGCCCAGGATTACACAGCTGGTAAATGTCTGAGGCTGGATTTGAACTCAGGTTTTCCTTACTCCAGACCCAGCCTCTCTCTACTGCACCACCTCACTGCTCAGCTAGTCTGTTTTTAAAGTCCTCAAGGAAGGGAATTTGCTGCTTCCCAAAGCAGCCCTTTCCATTTTAGGACAAGAAACTATTTAATTTAATTATCTACCTGATTGCTTTCCTTCCCCCCGAAACTCAGATACGTCTTGTGCTTCACTGGTCTTTTTAACTTTTTAACCTTTTTAACCTTTCCTCTCTCTTTATCCCCTAGGCTTTTATCTCCCCAATTAGATCGTGATCTTCTTGAGGGCAGGGACTGTGTTACTTTGTTGTATCCCCTAGAGTACTTTGTGCAACATATCCCATAAATATCTTTTGTTTTTAATATTTTTTAATTAAATGTAAAAACAATTTTTAAGATTTGTTTTTTAAAAGTTTGAGTTCCAAATTTTCTCCCTCCTTCTCTCCCCTGACCCCTCTCTGAGACAGCAATCAATTTGATAGAGGTGATACATGTGCAATCATGCAAAACATATCCACATTAGCCATGTTGCAAAAGGAAACAGAACAGACAAAAAAATAAAGAAAATTTTGACCTGCATTCACACTCCATCAGTTCTTTCTCTGGAGGTGGATAGCAGTTTTCATTATGAATCCTTTGGAATTGTCTTGGATCATTGTATTGCTGATAATAGCTGAGTTATTCACAGTTGAATATCATACAATATTGCTGTTACTAATGTACAATGTTCTCCTGGTTCTGCTCCCTTCACTTTGCATCAGTTTGTGTAAGTTTTCCTTGGTTTTTCTGAAGGTATCCTGCTCATCATTTCTTATAGCACAATAGTACTATACCATATATACCACAGTTTGTTCAGCTCATCCCCAATTGATGGGCATCCCCTTGATTTCCAATTCTTTGCTATCACAAAAAGAGCTGTTATAAGTATTTTTGTACATATCAGTCCTTTTCCTTTTTTTTTTTTTTTAAATCTCATTGGGATACAGACCTAGTAGTAGTATTGCTGGGTCAAAGAGTATGCATGATTTTGTAGCCTTTTGGGCATAGTTCCAGATTGCTCTCTAGAATGGTTGGATCAGTTCGCAACTCCACCAACAGTGCATTAGTGTTCCTTTTTTCCCATATCCCCTTCTCTAACATTTGTCATTTTCCTTTTCCATCATATTAACCAATCTGATAGCTTGAGTGGTACCTTAGAGTTGTTTTAATTTACATTTCTCTAATCAATAGTGAGTTAAAGCGTTTTTAATATCCTATAGATAACTTTGATTTCTTCATCTGAAAACTGCCTGTTCACATACTTTGACCAGTTATGAACTGGAGAATGATTTGTATTACTATAAATTTGACCCAGTTCTCTATATATTTGAGAAATGAGGCCTTGATCAGGGAAACTTGCTGTAAAAAATTTTCAGTTATGATTACTGTGTTTTTCCCTTCTTCTCATCTCCCCCTATTTATGTTTCTCTCTCTCCCTTCACCCTCTCCTTCCTCAAAAGTGTTTTGCTTCTGACCACTGTTGCCCCAGTCTACCCTCCCTTCTATCAGTACCTCCTCCTCTTATCCCCTTCCCCTCCTGCTTCCCTGTAGGGTAAGAAAGATTGCTATACCCAACTGAGTGTGTATATTTTCCCCCTTTGAGCCAATTCCAGTAAGAATAAGGTTCAGTCATTGTCTGCCACCGTCTTCCGCTCCACTGTGAAAGCTCTTTCATGCCTCTTTTATGAGAGATAATTTACCCCATTCCACCTCTCCCTTTCTCCTTCTCCCAGTGAATCCCTCTTTCTCAGCTCTTAATTTCATTTTTTCAGATATTATCCCATCATAGGCAACTCACACAGATGTCCTTTGACTGCCCTAATAATGACAAAGTTCTTGGAGTTACAAGTATCATCCTCCCATGCAAGAATGTAAACAGTTTCACCTTACCGAATCCCTTATGATTTCTTTTTCCTGTTTACCTTTTAATGCTTCTCTTGAGTACTGTATTTGAAAGTCAGATTTTCTTGTCAGCTCTGGTCTTTTCATCAGGAATGCTTGAAAGTCCTCTATTTCATTAAATATCTATTTTTTCCCCTGAAAGATTATACTCAGATTTGCTGGGTAGGTGATTCATGGTTGTAATCCTAGCTCTTTTGTCCTCTGGAATATCACATTCCAAGCCCTCTGATCCTTTAATATAGAAGCTAAATCTTGTGTTATCCTGACTGTAGCTGCACAATATTTGAATTGTTTCTTTCTGGCTGTTTGCAATATTTTTTCCTTGACCTGGAAGCTCTGTAATTTGGCTGTATTCCTGGGAGTTTTCATTTTGTGACCTCCTTCAGGAGGCAATTGGTAGATTTTTTTTTCCATTTCTATTTTACCTTCTGGTTCTGGGATAGCAGGGCAGTTTTACTTGATAATTTCTTGAAATATGATGTCTAGACTTTTTTTTAATTATGGCTTTTAGGTGGACCAATAATGCTTAAAATATCTCACCTCAATCTATTTTCTAGGTCAGTTGTTTTTCCAGTGAGACATTTCACATTTTCTTCTATTTTTTCGTTTTTTTGATTTTGTTTGATTTTTTTTCTTGATGTCTCATGGAGTCATTAGCTTTCACTTGCCCAAATTTAATTTTTAAGAAATTACTTTCTTCAGTGAATTTTTGTGCCAATTCTGCTTTTTAAGGAGTCCTTTTTTCAGGGGATTTTTGTGTCTTTTTTGCCGTTTGCCTAGTCTGTTTTTTTAAGGTGTTATTTTTTTCAGTATTTTTTGTGCCTTCTTTACCAAGTTGTTGACTCTTTTTCCATTATTTTCTTGCATCACTCTTACTTCTTTTCCCAATTTTTCCTCTATGTTTCTTATTTGATTTTTAAAATCTTTTTTGAGCTCTTCCGGGAATTATTTTTTGAGCCTGTGACCAGTTCGTTTTCTTCTTTAAGGCTTTGGATGTAACTGTTTAGACTTTGTTGTCTTCTTCTGAGCTTGTGTTTTGATTTTCCCTGTCACCGTAGTATCTTTCTATGGTCTGATTCTTTTTGTTGTTGTTGTTGTTTGCTCAT